GGGGGGGGGGGGGGGGGGGGGGGGTGGGGGGGTGCAGTGCATGATGGTCATGTATATCCATCTGCAGTTTGGACGAGTTTTTCCTCGTTGCAGGTGCTCTCCCCTCTGACATCATCGGTCCTGGCTGAGAGCAGCATCAGGGTGGTGGATGATAAAGTGAGCGTGACGGAGCTGGGCGTGCAGTTGGTTTCTGGACTCTCTCTGTCCCTGCGGCTCGGCCCGGGGAGCAACAGGGCCATCGTTGCCACGGCAACCACCCGGGAGACGATCACACAGCTCAAACAGGTAAGTGACTGGAAAATTGTAACACACAAAGCATAAAGCTGTGGGGCAGAGCTCAGCTGTTTTGCGATGGTGTTCGTCTCGTTTCAGTTTTACTCGTTTTTAGCCTCGCCACAGGAAGTAAACAACAGCAGTGAGTCATGTATGTAACGATAAACTGTGCGATTATAAAAGTGTGTTTGCATATTGAGGGGTTATTTGAGATTAAGAGTAAATCTTCCCTTTAATTCAGATGTTGAAACAGTGACAATAGATTTGTAGATTTGTCATGTGATGCAGAACAACACATTTTTGTTCAAAAATCTGTAGATTTGAAAAAGGCAGCATGGGAAGATAACATCAAAACGTGCCATTAGTCCTAATTTTCCTTCACTGGAAAATACACTACACCAACTCTCTCGCTTTGTGACACATCTTTTGAAATTCATAGACATTAGCTTCATCTGCGGGGTTGCTTACATAACAGCGGAAACACAAGCTGAATTTAGATTGCTACAGTATAGGCTGTGATTAAATATCAAAGGTTTTGGACTACAGTACCATAGTACCATAGTAGCTATGCGGATGCCTATGTCTTAAGCCTTAAAAATCCCTTTTTCTTGTTTTCTTGCATTTAACAAGCAAGCCCCATTGGCATTCGACGTGTGTCTTCCACTGACAATCTTCCTCCTTTCATTACCAGCATGGAGACGGTCACAGATGCATGTAAAATAAAGCATAAACATCAACACCCCCACAGACCTGCGTTGTAAGACCAACATGCTTCTTGCACTGTTAGCAGATAAATAAAAACAAACAAGATTTGTGTTGTTGCGGTTTGATTTTCCTGCATGCAAATCAAACCTTGTACATACACCTTAAGTATCGATCTTAGTGTTTAGATTTAGGATTTACCACTTAATCATAGTCTGGCTGAAGGCAAAGGAATTGCCTACATTGCAGGTGTGATTAACTCTGATTAATCGATTTAGATTTGGTAGTTGAGCTATAACCACGTCAAATATTTGTCAAGACATCTGTAGCGACAGCATTTCTACGTTCAGTGACACATTTTATTATCAGGGTACAGAGTATACCAGTAAAAGAATAAGAATCAAAAGCTCTACATTTGGTGGATGACAGGAAATAATACCTGGAATATGCCACTTGTCCTTGGAGTCCGGGTTTGCAAGTCAGATTATCTTCAAGAAAATGTATCTCTTGTCATAAAGAATGATGATTTATTTTCAATTTGGTACCCCATGAATATTCTTTTGGAAATCTAAAGTTTTTGGGGGGAAATTTGGCATTTTGAAACATTTAAATGTATTGGATTAATGTCTCTTGCACTGAGATGGTATTCAAAATTTCAAGGACCAAAAGCAGAAAGGAAAAAAAAAAAGAATCCTATTTTAGGCGATAACCACTCTAATCCACATTAATTTAAGATTTCTCTGGTGAGTTGTTCCGACACAGGGAGCAGAGGCAGTACATGCACCACAATACTGTCATTCAATCATTCAAAACAACTTTATTGCAAACCCTCTGTGAGTCGGGTCTTCAAATGACACTTTAGACTTATATGAATAGTTTGCTATTCACGTCTCCTAAATGTTTGTTTTCCACTAACGATACAATCACCTCAAGGGTGTAATCATATTTGGGTTTTCTCTTTGCGTCTAAAAATGTGAACTCAATATGTTCGCAGCCCTGACCATCATCTGTGGTTACCCGTGTGAGAGAGTGCCAGAGGCAGACAGCTCACTTTACCCACAGTACACTGTTGCTGGTCTGCGCCTGTCAATAACAAACTATTGGAACCATGCCAGGGCAGAAGACCAGCCAATTGTGTCTGTGATGACAAGCTGTTAATGATCTGCTCAGGGCGATTCATAATGTGTTCAAACCCCAAAAAATAGGTTAGGTCTGCGGCTCACATGAGCAACAGGAAATGGGTCATTGTGTATTAATGTGATTGGATTGGCTCTGAACTTGACCCTTGTCGCTGCACTTTTTTTGTTCTTGTTTGAAGGACGTCCATTATGCTCTCTTTATTCAGTTTGGTTAAATTATAGTTCATACCCTGACTTCATAGGACTATAATCTATGCAACAATAGCACCCTTACTGAGTGTAATCATAAAGAGATTAGCATAGGCAATTTAGTGCTATTAACAATCATGGGAATATAGCTCTCACTGAAGGCAGAGGGAGAATACTGATTTGCTGTGTTCTGAACTGCTTTTCTCCATAATTACCAGGTTCTTTCTTTCTTACTTTCAGGAAGCAGTGGTCAGCTGTTGGGTTCAGTTCAGCGATGGCGCAGTCGTTCCACTGGAGCTGTTCGACCGCAGCGTCTACTCTCTGACAGTCTCTACCCCAGACGAGGGGTTGGCCACGGTACGCCGCACCCCGCAGTTCACATTTTTAGTGGCGCAAGGGCAAGGTGGAGGCCAGGGGGCGCTAGTGAGAGTGGAGCTGAGGATCTGTGAGGAATGCCAGAAGTCCAAGAGGAAGAGCAAGTTGGCGGTGGGCACGGGGCTCCTCAGGATCAACTTCCAGAGTAGCAGAAGAGTCATAGCAGGAGGGGGTGGCGGTAATGAGGTTGACGCTGACGGAAGTAAAGATTTTGATGGCGGTGCATTAGAATTAGTAGGAGAGATCAAAACGACACAGCGTGATGTCACAGACGTGGATAAATGGTTGTTCGGAAGCACAGTACCCGACCAGCGAGAGTCCGCCCCGCCAGAAACTACCGCCTTTTCAACGAAACCTAAGCAGCCGTACGTTGTGAGGATTGGAACCACAACCAGAGCTACAAGAAGTAACACGTATACTGCCATCCCCACAACTGCCACAACAACTATGAGCAAAACGAGCTTAAATACACCACTGAGCACTGCCATACCTAAAGATGCCACAGTGGGTTTAGTTATTGAAGGAGAGGGGCAGAAGAGGAGCTATGGAAACATGCTTGACAGCCCCAATTCACCCTCGAACAAAGACATTCCTAAAGCAGAAGTGACACCCAAGAAGGAGCCTCCTAAATCTAAAACTCCGAAAGTAATTGAGAGTGACCTCGTTAGGACATTCAGAGCCATGTCGGAGATGGAAATCGGCATATATGCCTTGGTTGGGGTCTCCTGTATAGCTATCTTTGCTTTTTTGCTCAACTGTGCATCGTATAAACTCTGTTTCCGGAATAAAAAGACGCCCATACAGGCAGGCCCGTTACCCATGGGGGACCCGAAGGACCACAAGCACGACTGGGTGTGGCTGGGAAGCAGCAGTGATAGCACTCCTGACCCAGGTGCCCCGGCTCAAGTGTCCACACTCAAACGCGAGGCTCACCGCTCTCTGGAGTCCCATCATTCCATGGACTCGATCGGCCACCGCAGCATGGAGGGCACCCTGCCCACAGTGAGCGCCCCCACTGTCCCCGAAAGAACCGCCACCCTGGGCCGCAGCAGGAACAGCTCCCTGCAGCAGCAGCAGTTTCAGGGAAAGGCGATGGACCCGATGGCGAACCGCCCAGCCACCTTGCTGGACAGGCCACATCGCAGCGAGCCGCTTCATTCCCCCACCAGCAAGCGGAACCAGGTCCAGTTCACCACCTTTACCACGCTGGACATCAAGCACTTGGCTGCGCTGAAGAAGAACGGCGTGGACTTAAACTGGGCCAACCAGCAGACTCTGCAACACCAGGTCCCTGCCGAGCCCCAGTCAGCTTTACCTGACATGCCGTGGCCTGTAGTCAAACCTCTAGGAGAGCCCCAGTGAGTGTGTGTATGTGTAGGAGTGAGAGAGAATAAAAGAGTGACATACACAGCAAGTTCTGGTGTAGATCGTCTAAAAGAAAAGAAGCTGGCTTTTGTTTTTTCATAAAAGATAAATCACTTTAGAGGCTGAATTTATTGAGACTAGATAAAGGACTTTTTATATTAAACTATGTGCTCAGTAAAAGCCTGTAAATACATTACGTAACCATGTACCCATGAAGAGCAACATAAGAGATACTGTGTTCCTTTTTTTTTAAAGATTTAAAGCTGGATTTTATCCTCAAAATGAAAGATTCTTGTATTTGAAAAATATGTGCTCTCCAGATCAGCTGTTGTAAATATAAATAGATCTATACTATTACCTTTTTCTACATTTCCAACTCAAGACAAATGGATTTTCATCTCCTGTGTGCAATGCTGTTGCCCTGTAGAAACTGCTCCAGATATTGCTAGTTGTCGGGCGAAATGCAGTTCGGTAGGGATTATTTCTTGTAATTCTATTCCTTTCCAGCCTTTTGTACTTTTTTTCTCGGATTCCTCCGGAGAATACCTGAAGAGTCTGTGCAATTTGTCAGAGAATATGCAACATTTATCAGGTTATTTGGAGCACTCTGTCACTGCAGTCGTCACCGGATATTTATTCAAATCAAATGCATGTTATGCAAATATAGTCTGTGCCGCGTTGGAAGCGGACATTGTTTCGGAATTTTTTAACAAATTCACCTTGGTCTTCAGGCTCCTCCTGGGGGCCTGCTTCTACAATCTGTAAAGAAAAAATGTATAATCTTGCTCTCCTGACACAGAGCAATACATATTCAACTACGATTTTTCATGTGTGAATGAAAAATGACAATGCCTTTTGTATGTAATAGCCTCTTATTTTTAAACCAAAATGTGATGTGTATTTCCTACGAGATCCTATCAATAAAGAACAAATGGATACATTGTTGTATTGAAATTTAATTGAATTCAATCATTGTTTTTAAAGCCTTTAAAATGTTATGGTGTCATTCATGGGAAAGCGCAGTGAATGGTTTGGATTAAAGGCTAAAGCTCTTCTATGAATCAGTGGGATTTGACTATGTTTAATCACTATTGAAAGTCTTTTAAGGCTGATGTCATCATTCAGCGAAATGTCATACTGACAGCAACCTATTTGATGTGTCTGCCAATAATGCTGTTGTACAAAAGAAAACTGTCACGTAGAGAGCAAGAGAAAGACGGGAAAAGAGAAAGTGATTCTCATTTTGTGTATTGTGACCGTGTCCCCAAAGAATTACAGCTATTTTATCAATGGTGGAGGCTCTCGCACTATAACTCACGGCTCATTTGTCTCTTTTTTCTTCCATCCTCCTTGTGGTGTCTCTGAGGTGACCACAGCTACACCTCTCAAAATGATATTCTATGAGCTGTGATAAATAAACAGCGTCCCCAGTTTAAAGAAAGCCCAAATAATCTGATGCCCTGCACCTCAGGAATTGGCAGCTGCGGATATGACGGCGAGCGTCGTCACTCCCTGCTGCACAACAGCATCGGGTGGATTTAAAGTGTTGATAAAAGCAATTTTAATAACCTGCTTCCAAATTCTCTACCATCGGGCCCAGCATTTTTTTGTATGTGTATAAGCTCTCAATGCTTTCCAGTCGCTTTATCTGTCCACCAGGAAACGTAAACAAACTCGCCTCGGAGATAAGCAGTGATTCAAAGCTGTCTCTGCGGTGCATCGTGGCCCGACATCTTTGATTGCGGACCTGCCGTATCATCAACGCAGGATTCAGAACTTAAATGTTCAGGCACCGTGATGATGAAGATATAAAAGCTGAACAGTTTGTACAACAACAATGGAGCCTCCAAATAACTCTCCTTGTGCTTTTCCACTGAAATGCTTACAATTTCTGTAGCTCAGGTCCATTCCTCGGTCTCCCACGTGTAAACTGAACACCATTGAAATAGTCTAACCTTTGTATTGGAAGTACTTGGCTTCATCATATTACTTGAAGGGCACTTCAGTTAATCATACTCATCATGCAAGCTGCAATAAGAGTTTATCTGGAGTGGTTGGGACACATCATAATTAATTATAATTGCAGTTACATTATTTCAGTAATAATGCATTGAGATCCAGGTCCACAGATATAGCAGTCAGGGCTGTTTTGCATATAATGAATTATGCAAATCACAAACCATGTGTGTTTGTCTTGCGAACAACAAGACGGGAGCAGAGTCCCCGAGTATCATTACAGCAGGATCTCTAATCTGGAGCATCAGCTTCCCTATTGACAGATTTAAGGGATTGGGGTCATTGTGTAGGAGGATTAGTGTGCATTAGTGGACCCTCTCCATGACACAATCCTGATAATGTAGGCCAAAAGAGACAAGGTCGCTTTTTTTCCACAGGGCTGCTTTCACACACGTTGCACACAAATGATCAAAGATGGGGGCAGGTGTTTGTGGGAAGGTGTAGCTGCAAATGGAAAAACTCACCTGTGAAAATGTAATGTAGCTGAGATGCTGTACACATTTATTATGTGGTCCGCTTAAAGGGGCAATGTGTAATTCTTGGCCACATGTTCCAAAGAAATAGGGGTCAGCCTTTCACCTCTACTTCTGGGGCCAGACGATCTAAATTTACAGTTACAACGATAAAAAAAAGCCAGCTACTAACAAACAGCGGGGCAAAAATACGTAAAATTTGCCTTTGGGGCAGATCTACATCTTTGTCCTCTCATGAGGGCAGACTGGACGCTGCAGTGACTCACTGTTTCCTCTCAAGGGACACGACGGGCCGGGGCTAGCTGGTTAGCATGCTCATTTTCAGTCGATATGTCCGCAACATAATACATAGATGTCTCTGACATTACGGCAACAAAGACAGATGGACGAAGACGGGCACACACAGAAGTCAGTCCGAAGATGAATTGGGAGATAACAGAGGTAGAACTCTCATATCACAGGTGGAGGGGAACTCAGCCTGGCAGCTCATTAAGACAAAGTAGCTCTTGCCTCCCCGCTGCGCTCGTCACTGTCATTGCTTGTCAGCACAGTGTCCTTGCTCAGTGTGCATGGGAAGATAATGTCACCAACATTACAAAGAAAGAGGACAAAAAGCAGAGGAGAGGTTCTTTGTGTTAATGAGACAGATTGAAGAACACAGCGTTGTAGGAGCAGGAGAGGGAGCAGCCTTAACTGACGAAAGAGGAATCTCAGATGAAGCACAGTGCTGGCAACAGGTAAATGGGCGTGGTCACAGTAGTTATGTTGTTTAGTTCATTTATTTGAGTGAGGAGACAATATACAACACATTTTAGGTGTGCAAGGATAATTAACCTGCAAAATGGGAGGAGAGGATGAGGGTGGGAGGAAAAGAGAGAGCTCACGAGACAGACTGGGACACAGAACGACAGGCATGAGTGCATGCTCCGAAGAAAGAGATTTTCCTGCTCGGTGCAGGACTTGTACAGAAAACAATGCTTTCTTTGGTACGTTTTCAGCTAATGCACTTTGTGATTCCCTACAGATATCGAGTCAGATCCCTTGTCGGGTTTTTGCCAATATTAGCCTTAGGGGGACTAAAGATTTCATGGCAATCCATCATAGTTATCGAGGTACTTTTTTTCTGGACCAACATGGTGGACTGACCGCCAACATATATCACTAAAAAGATCACTAATATATATATATTACCAAACAAATATACACATCCTCAGCACAGAATGGTAAAAAAAAACATTTTACATGAATGAATTTGAATTGTTGGTAAAAGAAAGGAGCCCTGTAACTGAAACAACAATGTCAAAGGCAATAAATGTTCATAAATGGGAAACATATGTGCAAGCCACATAGCTAGTTTACTCATAGATTACGGACATATGATATACAAGTGCAAAGTACTCTAAAAATAACATTGGTCAAAATGGTAGCGTACGTGTGCACTCGTTTTCAACACCAGGCATTGTGGCACAAACAAGCTAAGTGCAAAAGAGAGATAAAATAGTTTCTAGAAAAGGGAGCCTCTGACAGCGTATGAATGGTTTATATTTTCAAAAGAAAGAGTGCGATGGGTTTGAGTCCAAGCAAACAAACACCAAACATGCCACAAGGCCAACTGGTGCGCAGGTTGGGCCTACATTAATAACCAGAAAAAAAAATAAATAGAAAGAAAATTGCACAGTGACCTTCTGCTTATTTTGTATGGACACTCCTGTCTCTGTGGGTATAATTTGAAACAGGTTGATTGAGAAGAAATTAAAAAAGTTATATAATCATCATCTGTGTGCAAATCTCACATGCAGCAAAGTATAAGGAAATCTGAGTCTTAAAAGGGAATATCAATTGCAAAAATAACAACAAAAAACGATAAAATCTACCAGAAACCTGACCTTAGATTACACAGCTGTGACGGGCAGATTTAAATAGTCTACGGGAATGAGGATTGTTGCATTTATACTAATCCTGCCTCCACAGCTGTCACAAGTCTTTCACACATCCCAGCAGAGTTGGTTTCTTTCACCTCAAGCACCTTGCTTCTGGAAACTGAATTTTTTTTTCTTAGGCCGTTAATGTATTGCTTACAACTGAACTCTGTTTGGAAAAGTGGTGAAGGACTTTTCTCATTAAAAAAACACATTGGTTGATTGGCCCCTTTTTATGAGTCGCATGCTGCAAAGTTGTAACCAGTAATAATAGTGTTGGTACCTTCGAGAAAAATTAAATTTTGTGACTGCATAGCAAGTCAGACGCACCGTGGCGACATTAAAGGTGTTTGTAATGGAATAGTTGTATTCGTCCCTGAGATAGCTGCAGGCTCCCGTCTGGCTTCGCAGTTACTTTTTCTGCCTCATTTTAGATCTGAAGAGCAGGGTGTGTGTGTGTGTGTGTGTGTGTGTGTGTGAGAGAAACATTCATACACTCATGCTCGCACACAGAGAGTGTGCCGGTGTCTGACTGGGTTTAGGATGGAGGTAAAGGAGACAGAGCTGGTCTTTCACACGCAGCAAAAATAAGGAAAACACATGACAGAGAGCCACGTTTGGTACGGCAGAGTTTCTTGAAGCTCAGACAGATATTTGAAATATTTCTTCTTTTTAGCTGACAGACATTTTGAAGCAACCGTACATGTCAGTGTTTCATCCACATTTGTTTTGGAAATGTGGTCTTGTCTCGTATACGGCAGACAGTTCTCTATATCCATTTAGACCATTATCCCCCCCGCCCCATTCGTTTTTTGCCTCTCTGTCTCTCTACCTTCGTCTCCTCGATTCCCCGCTTGCTTCACACTTTATACACATGCTGCATTCATCTTGCCTACAGCCCTTAAACAAAGACTGCCTGTCTTGCTATTTTTACTCGACTTCCCTCACACCTGCCACTCTCACTGTATTCTCTTGATATTTGTTTCCCCCCTCAAGTTTTTTTTTGCTGACACTACGTTTTCCTCGGTCTCCGGGATATCTGTGTTGGACGAAAGGTGAAACTACAGGAACTACAGGATTTAGGATCCATTCCAATTGGAGTCTTTATGGGAACTACAA